CACCAACCATTTTCCAGTTTGGCACATCACTGAGTGTGCCCACCACCTCAGCCCTCATAACTCAAAGACATTGCAGTATCTCAGAAGGCAGCCGTAAAACTCTAATTTATTTGGTATTCTTTAATTAAATATATAGGGAGGGAAGGAAACACCTTCATTGTGTTTCTCATTATTGACTACTCAAATTCTCAAACTGCATCTGATCCAAAGAAAGCCCTTAATATTCATTCTGAAACCTGTTCCATTCACGCCTGTCTCCATGTCTACACCTGTTACTCAAGAAGAGTCACGGGGCCATCCTTGAATTCTCACCACGTTATTTCCCATTCAACTAACCAGATACAAGAATCAAACACTCTGCTCGTCTACACAGCAAAGCGCTTGCCCATATGTGCATTCACCCTCACATGTCTGCCTGTCCTCACCCCAATCTACCCTATACCTTCTTTACGTCACACATACAGTTTACCTGCCGACACTTATCATTTTCTATCTGGCTCACCTCTTTGAAAGCAGAAAAAGTACTTACAGGGTTGGAGAATAGAGGAAACCCTGCTTCCCAAACCTAGCAAAGTCAATAAATGACTTCTAATAAATGAGATTGTAGCATTTTTTAACTCAACAGATGCTCGAAAAATTGCATTATGTAAAAAAAATCCTATGCAAACACTTCCTTTTGCTGTACACCACAGCAGCCACTGACCTCCTTAAAGTTGATGTTTGCAGTGTATGCACATCCGATGAATGGGAAAATGAGGAAGCCCTGGCCTAACTGCCAGCCTGCTCCGTGTTCAGTGCAGCTATATGGAAGATGAGAACCTTCAGTCCACCCGCTAGGAATGCTGTGAACCACATACCTGCATCCACCCATGCTTCTCACCAACCTTCACCAAAGAATACAAAGCAAATCATCCAAAAACCTGCTCTGTTTCTCACAGCGTTATTGCCTCCCAGACAGGAAGATAATTTAAGCAACAGCGACTGCTCAAATCACACAGTGTAAAGTTCGGAGGAACTTGTGGAACACCACTTTTCTGAGTTTCAAAGAATCCACAAGAATGTTAGAGGGCAGAGAAAAACCTTATCACACCTTAAAAACCACCCGTAAGAGTTTCCCCGTTCACTTCAGAAAATCTCATCTGTATTTCTAAGAAGGGTATATTTACCACCTTGTCTCCCTTGCTTAGCCTTGCTTGCTATATTTAGAAGTACTGAGTCCTGAATGGTTTCTGCATGCTAATTTCCCTGGAACCTTAAAGCAGATTTAAGGTACACTTGAACAGGTGTTCTGTCACAGCCAAACTATGGGTTTCAATAGCGGTGAGCCTGGCTCAGTGCCTGGCTGAGGGTGACAACGCTCATTAACCCACTATGCTGCACGAGATCCAAGAGTTCTTAGCCAGCAATTTGGGGGCAGACTCCGATTTTCAGCGAGGTTCTATTTCAATTCACCAGTGCTGTCCACAGCCACAGTGTGCCATCCTCAGCCACAGCGAGCCAATCTCAGCCACAGTAAGCTGTCCATAGCCTCAGTGAGCCATCCAAGCCACAGTGAGCTCATTCTAGCCTTCAAAGGCACTTCATGCAGCCTTGATTTGCAACGTTGTTTACAGTCGGTTCTTACTGGAAGCTCTCTTATCTGTAGCTGTCTAAAGGTCATATCAAATGCCGGATTTTTCCTTATAAGCATCTTGGGTGGCAGTCTACTCTCTCCTGACTCTGTGCAATCACTGCCTTTGCATTCTTCTTTTTGTGCTATTTATTATTCATTTCCCTGAGTTGTTGGTTTTGTTGTTTGTTTGCTTTTTCTTTCCCCTGCACACAGTTTTCAACAATGGGTGAAAGTCCCTTTAGAGAAACATCAGAATCTTCTACCCTACATGATCATTGTTAGAGCTAAATGTCCCAGAAGCAATCAAGGAGTAATTATTTTATTAATAAACATACAGTATTAATAGCCGTAAAACGTATTATTGGCTTACTTTCCAAACCCTTAGCAGCTTTTGTTGCTTCCTCTGTGCTGTCGTTCATCATAATCCCTCTCCTTGTTTCTGTGCCATTGATCTTTCCTGTAAAGACCATCTGTCTGCAATTGTCAGCTTTCTTTCCTGTCTATTTGTAGTTACCTAGAGACTATGGTGGAGTCCTGTCACCCTGCGTAATACTTCAGCTTTCAGATTATTGAACCTTGCTATCTAGCTCAAGAAAATAGCCTACAGTGGTTCCCGGCCAAACGCTTTGTACCCCTGCGTCATCATCTCTTTTTCTACCTCCTCTATAAACAGAAGTCAGGGCCACATATTTAATGCCATTTCTCACTTGCTTCTCACCTGAGGGCTGGCCCACCATATACAGCCAGCGTTCCTTCGAGAGAGAGTGATTTAAGGAACTCTGCTGCTTAAGAGGCTGGAAGAGGTCAGACTCAAAACACTTGGGAACATTGACAAGGAAAGATCAACACTGCACAGCACTGAGGAATGTGTTCTTTCAGTGGACCATCCTTCACAGAGCCCCGCATACGTGGTTCCAGCGTTGTCAACCCTCCTAACCGCTCTGAATAGTGACATGTTATCTGCCTTGTGTTTCATAAATACTTTCATTAAATACTTGCAACTTGATTGATTTTGCTTAATACTGAATTACAACTAAAATAAATGTGCACACTGGATTCACCTGTGTCTGCTGGACTACAACCTCTACTTTAATCTAATTCTTGGAGTAGAACCTGCCATTAGATTCTATTGAGTCACACTCAACTAGTTTATAAGTTTTGAAGCTATGAGCTGGGTGACACCTCTTCTCAAAGGATCTCAGAAAAATCCACATTGGCTGAAGGAAGGAGGGACAGCATAGTTTCTTGTCTGTCTCCTTGCCCTGTTGGCTTGAAAAATGTACCATGGCCAAATGTTGCCTCTCTGGCAATTTCTTCTACTCTCCACAGCACAATGACATTTCTACTGGATGCTGTGCAGAATACAAAGTACCTAAAATCTATAATCAAAGGAATCTTTTAGGATAGCATGGTCCCCATACTGAACCAGCAAACTGCTGCTTTCAGATACTCAGCATCATTCACTGCATGCTATCTCAGCAAAAGCATGAGAGACCTGCATCCAATTTAATGGTTCTTTTGATGCTCGGTGGCATAATGCCCTGGACATCATTCCATCTTTCCGGGAATAAAGTTTCTCTATATTGTATAAGGCAATTGGTCAATGTCATCAGGGTTCTTCCTGAACTCATTGCCGTGGTCCTGCAAGACTGAATATCAACATTTCCCTAATAAACTCACACACTGGTGAGGTGGGGCGGTATGTACTTCAGTACCTAAGACTGATATACAGTTTTGAAATGAGGGGGGAAATGATAATTAAATCTCGCATCTTCTAACGTCAACTTCATGATTACTCACAGGATAAGACTTTCTTAAAAGTGCCAAACACAGAGAGGTGGTGATAGCTGCTGTACGATGAGGAATTGTAGGAGTCACTGTGAGAGGATTTGGGGTGCATAATCATTGAGATTTGTTTTCCATGTCTCACAGTGAGACTGAAAGCTATTGTTTCCCTGGGACTTCATGATTCATGCTTTCAAATGCTGCTCCTGAACTCAGTATAGTGACATTCAGTCCCAGATTTCAATCTTCTTCCACCGAGACCCAGCACACAGCAAGCTCCGCTCAGTCATTTTACATTTTAAAAAATATCTTATCTTTATTTTAGTTTTTTCTTTCCATTACTTCCTGACCACAGTTTCCCTTTCCTCCACTCCTCCCAGCACACCCAAATCCCTCTCCCGCAGATCCACCCCTCCACCATTTCCCTTTCAGAAAAGAACAGACTTCCCAAGGATATCAACCAAACTTGGCATAACAAGTTAAGACTAGGCACAAACCTTCATATCAAGGCTGGACAAGGCAAACCAGAAGGAGGAAAAGGGTCCCAAAAGCAGGCAGAAGAGTCAGAGTCAGCCCTCACTCCCACTGTCAGAGGTCCCACAAGAACACTATGGTGTATGACCATAATGTATATGCAGAGGATCTATCACAGACTCAAAGATGCTCCGAGATTGTGGCTTCAGTCTCTATGAGCCCCTGTGAGCTCTGCTTAGCTGAGTCTGTGGGCTGTTTTCTTGTGGAGCCCTCTGGTTCCTTCCTCCCCTTCTTCCATGGGATTCCTTGTATTCCACATAATGTTTGGGTGTGTGTCTCTGCAGCTGTCCCACATTTGCATGTAACTTTTCAGCGTGCAAGTTCATTCCTTTTATATGCATCCTTTTACCTGGTGTCTAATACAGCTGGATGTAATAAGGCCTATCTGTCATAAAATCTCTGTCACTTCAACTTTAAAAAGCAAGACTGAACATGGCGGTGCACACCTTTAATACTGGCACTCAGGAGGCAGAAGCAGGTGGATCTTTGAGTTTAAGGCCAGCCTGGATTCTAAGCTACAGAACAGCCTGGGCAACACAAAGGAACCCTGTCTTGGAAAACAAACAACAAACAGGGCCTTCATAATAATAAGAAACAATCACCCTTTGTTTATCATTAAAGGTTCAGGAAGATCCTTCAACTCTCTTGCCTTTTAGATGAGAAGAATGACCTGAGGTGGTAGAGAGAAGAGTGAGAAGGGAAAGACAGATTCCATCTTGTTCTCGGCCAATGGATCATACATGAACAGATCACCTCAACTGACCTCAGTTCACTGAGCCTCAGAATGGAGAGAACTATGCCAATCCTACCAATCTCACAGAGCACCTATTATTAAAAAAAAGAAATCAATGTATAGATGAGCAAGTCAACTGACTTTATAGCCTGAAAACTTCTAGTCTGTGAACATCAGTCTTGTCCAGTAGAGAAGGATGGAGGAATTTCACATACAAAACAGTGAGCTAAATGAACATATAACATGTCTACAAGTCCAGCGTAGGAACAGGAACAGTCAACATATAGAAAGACATGGGCTTCTTTGTAGAACCAGAAACATGCTTCTTGGTCTTACCTGGGTAGGCAGTAGGACCTCCTCAAGACTCTTCTTTTTCTTTCCAGGCAAGTGGGGTTAGACCACAAATAGTAGCCAGTACAGGTGGAGCTGGGTCGGAGGAAGTCCACAGGAGAATGCCCAGTAGCTGTCACCCCACCTCTGGTGCTGAGCTGAGCAACAAATGCTCACTCTCAAAGGGGCAAATCGGAGTAAGAATGTTGACAGGGTGGAACTCAGGTGTCAGAGTTCCTGAACTAGGTTCGTGGGTGGAGACTTTCAGGTTCTGCAACAACACACCTAGCTCCTCTCTCTCAAGAAAGGCTGTAGTTTTCTGCCAACTTCCTCTTTGATTGAAATCTGACCAAGGTGACAAGGAGGAGCTTGGTTCTTCTGTATGCTCTGAATGGTTAAAACCAAATGACTCTGAAGACCCGGGTTAACATTAGTTACCAATAATCCACTGACTATTTATGAAAGCCCTGTGACTTCTGTATTGGAAGTGAAGAAGGCACACAGGGAAGACTGTCTCTGTAAAAATGAGCACATGTACACAAAGACTCTCTCATCAGTCTTCCCATAACCTTGTCACTTGAACTGTCTATAGACAATGACAGCAGTGTGCCCAGCAGGTAGAAGGAAATCATTACACGTTGAATGAATACTGATCAATTGATACCTATTTAATGAATCTTGACTTCTCATTTAATGGGTCCTCGGGTATATTTTTGCCTTCCTGAGATTTTTGTTATCATTGTTTGTTTTCCGACTTTTCAAATCAATCGCTTGAGAATCATTCTTCCTTCAGAGACATAGGAAGAATTTGACAGACAGCCTGAGTGTGAAGGTAGGACAACCTTCCCCACAGCAATGCTAAAACAGGATGTGAAACTCATTGTATGTTTCAGAAAACCTAAGCAAGTGTGCCCTGCATGGAGAGTTGGTAGAAAACAAATGGTGAATGGCACAAGGAAGTGAATTTCTGGGGGAAGATTGAACAGAGAGCAAAGTGGCATATGCAAAGGACTGAGTTTCAATTTCCATTGTAAATCTAGTGCATTCATCAAACTGCTAAAATCATATTCTGCTTATTTGATGGCTGGTAAAGTGAGAAAGGAGTCTGATTGTGCTCCACTCTTTAAGAGAAATAATAACAGACATTCACCTCTAAAAAAAACCAGTTTAAACCAAGTCCTAAGCATAGTAGTTTTGAAAAGATTTCTTAGTAAAATGAACACAAACTTAACTCATCTATGGCTTCCTGGGTCACAATGAGTAGATAAGTCTTTTACTTCCTTTGCAATGTCAAGGACATTCTCCTTGTGTTCATTCAACAAGCAGTGAACCAAGCAACCAACCTGACCAATCACAGTTCCCTCAGCAGACATGGTGAGAAAAAAGCTGACAGAGACTCGATTTGACACAGGACATTGAAAAGTATGTGAGTAGGCTGACACTGTGCTGTGGGAAAGGGGTCAGAATAGAGCTGTGGTCATCTGAGAAGGGGGACATTGAAAGACGGGGAATCAGCTTTGGATCTGAGTGGTTAAGGAAGGCTAGGATTTCACCAACAGCAGATGGCAGACTTAGATGTAAATGTCTTCTGTGTGGTGCACCAAGCCACATTAGTTGCCTCATGCTCCTCCCCCTAATAAAATCCCCTGGCTGTGTCTCAGAACTGCTATCCAGGCCACATTGCAAAGCTAGAGGTCAATAAAGAAGAATTTCCCTACAAACACCGTCCCCAGTCAGACTGGGGCAAATAGAGGTTAGAGCAGAGAGATGCTGGGTGCCACCCGGGTCTCTTAAGTGTGAGAGCAGTGGAATTACGGCTGCTCCAACTGCTAATACTAAAGGACAAGCCCTTTTGAAAAGCAGTTGCTTGTCTTTGGGTTTCCAGTGGCTACCCGTGCCTCTCAGCTTGGGCGAAGGCCCTGTCACACTGCAGCTTCCAGTGGCTGTGATAGCAAGCACTGTATACCCTGAAGGAACACCACAATAGACAAAACAGCGAGCAAGAACCCTGATCCTTGTTCTCATGGGTGCCATTCACTGACTTGATTTGAGGAACAAGGAACCTAGCCACCTCCACGCCTCAGCTGCCTCTCTTCTACAGAGTGAGGGTCGTACCCCCAGCTCTTGAGAGAGGAAATGAGATTATGGTGTAATAAGAATTCTGTAAATCAGAGCCACTGGCATCAATATGGAGTACTATTTTTACAGAGCATGTGACTACACCCGAAAAAAGACTAAAGGCTATGTACAGGCCATATGTACATGTGTGCATTGCCGTAGCACACATGTACAACACAAGCATGTAAGCCATTACTTCCCAAGTTGGGTTTGAACTCATGGCCTCAGACATGTTAAGTAAGAGCTCACTGAACTCTGCCCATAGCCCAAGATAGGCATTAAGAGAACATTTCCCTTGGTGTCGTATCTAACACTCCCACTGTGATCCCTCTGAAAAATGCCCTCCTCCCCACTCCCCTTCAACCCTAGTGTCCATAGGATGGAATGCAAATGGGTATTTACTTGGTTAGGAATCTCTAGTTTATTAGACCTGCCCTCCAGTCACCTTCTGGAAGGGGACAAGGTAATATGTGGATGATCTCACAGCCAGTTCTCTCCCTGGTTAGCAGAGTTATTCCATTGCCTGTTTCCTGGAGCAACACAGAGACATGAGGATTCTGAACAGGTATGACCCAGAACCTCCTGCTTCCCATGTGTCCCCTGCTCAACGGACCACTCAGAGGATTACTGCATAGACACAGTATCACAAGGGTGTCTAGACCCTGTATACAAGTCTCACAGCGTGATTCCCCAGCTATGGCTCTCTTTGTAGAGAGCAGAGCATGTAATGATGTCTCAATTCTAGATAGCTTTTCAAACAGCTGGAGCAGGTTGGGAGGTTATAAGCTGAGGGATTTGAGTTTCAATAGCACATAGCATTCCTCTCTGGTACAAATCTCTAGTATGGCCAGCTTCATGAAAGAGCATAATTTTCCTAATACCAGGATTCACAGAGGGTTAGAGATAGCCCAGCATGGGAGATGCCATTCACATTCTCCCAGCGAAAAGGGACTCAGCTCCAGTCTCTTGGACTCTGTCTCTTCTGCAAAAATAAGGTCTACTTTAAACATCCACAGAAGCTAAGCACCAGGCAAGAGTTGCACGATTTTCCCATTCAGCATGCTTGGGGAGAACTTCCGGTTTTAACTTTGGTTGAAGGCAGTGATCGACTATCATGTGACTGACTGAGGCCATTCCCCACTCTCAATCCCAGATCTCCATCCCCCTCTGTTGGGTTTGTCCTGCTGTGCCCATTCTGACATTCTTAGAGATTACTCAATGAGAGAACTGTGTTTTCACTTTGTGATGTCTTGCAGGCCTATCTCCACTCCTGTGCCTTTATAGAGTTCTGAATCACTAAGAAGACAACAGTGCCACAGCCACACCATCCATTGCTGACAGGGAGGAGGGCTTCACAAAGGTAGAACCTTGCTTTCAAAGTTCTTCCTTCCAAATACAAATCTCAGGGAAAAGCCGAGGCAGAACAGGTGCCACAGGCCCCGCTTCTGTGAACCCTCCCACTCTGGATAGATTAGGGGTCTGACTCACGTCCAGGGTGGGGCTCATCATTCCTGTTCAGCACCCAGGCCCCTCCCTGCCCATGAGGCTCGGGAGGAAATGGGGGTTACTTGGAATGAAAGCCGCCATTCAACATCACCAGATAGAACAGAAAGTAGACCTTAGGCAGCCCACGTGGTGTTGCCTTTATAGATAAAAACACCACTCATTCCACTCTGCAGATTGCACACCACCCACTCCACACTGGATAGTCTTCGGATACCCACTCACTCACCGAGCAATCCAGTGCCCATGCTCATCCCTGCCTGAGTTGTCTCCAGCGATTTCCCCTTTCTGAATCGTTGTTATCCCCATGGAAGAAACTTGCCCCCCCCCCCCTGCCGCACAGTGTAGTGGCCAAACTAATGCTCCATATATAGGTTCAAAAAATCTGAAAATAACACAGATGTTTTAAAACTGCCTTGCAACCAAATGATTCCCTGGCACATTTCACCTATGCAAGATTTAGACACAACTTAGTCATTTCACATGTCTTGACAGGAAGAAGCCCGAGGAGGAAGGAGAACAAATGCTAACGATGTAAATAAGAGTGTGTGGTAAGACACGGGGCATAAAGACCAACCTCTGACGTGGCGGCACTAAGGAAAGTGGGAGGGGCGTCAGCCAGGATACGGGGCATACAGGACAGAGGCTCACTGCCTACACACCAAGTCCCGGATGTGGACCCACGACAAGATTCTTTCTCAGCTGTTTTCTTCCCTTTCTGCAAGATGAAGAGGTTTAGATGTATTTAGAGAAAGAGCCTGTTAAAATACTCTTTTAATATTTTCTACCTATGCTTCTGTGTGTGTGGGTGTGTGCATGTTTGTGTGTGTGTGTATGTGTGTGTGCACACTCGTGTGGGGGTGTGTGAGGGTGTACGCGTGTGCATACATATGTACACACAGTCAAAGGACAATTTCTCTGGAGTCAGTTCCCTCCTTCCGCCTTTTATGTGGGTTTTGGGGCTCTAACTCAGGTTGCCAGGCTTAAGCAGCAACTCTCTCCACTGAGCCATCTTGTCAGCACAAAGTGGGGACTTTTTGGTGAGTGGGCATCCTGCGCTTCGACATGTTCAACTCTTATCACTGGGACCAATTTTCAGGGCAATGTTAAGTCCTGGAAAAATAATGAAGGCAGCGAAGCAAGCCAGTCGAGAGAGTTGATTTCTACCCTTGGGAGTGACCCTGGAGGAAGCAGTGAAAGAGGACTTGGCTGTGCAATAACTGGGGAGTGGGGAAGCGATGGGGCTTAGGACCAGGAGTGGTCCTAGGCCAGCAAAGATCCCAACTCCAAGTGATGTCATCTGTACTGTACCAGTAAATCCAGACACATCACTTCGTATTTGAAGACACTAAATATCCTAGTTTATCGAGATATCTCAAGAATGAGAGAATTCTAAGGTCAAAGCCATATTTGAAAAAAAAAACATTTTTATAAATTTGCATCTTCATTATGTGACTAAATTCGCAAGCAGGCTACCCAAGTCATATAAGAAAAAAGACACTTTTATTTTCGTCTTGGTTCCTAATCAGCCACACCCCTGACTGTGCCCCCATACCATAAGGAGTTCGCACACTTTTCTATGTTCACCTATTCAAGTCTGGACCCATAGCTGGTACTTGACAACCTCAGTCTTAACCTGGACTTCAAGGC